CCTCCCTGCCCAGAGGCCCCCAGCTCGGCTTGGGGTGGACCCTGGCCGGTGGGCGTGCCGTGTCCCCTCCGGGGCCCGTCCCTGTGACCCGGCAGAGAGGCCGTGGTGACCGCGGCCGAGCTCCTAGGGAGGCCGGTGGAGCGTTGCCGTTCCCAGGCCCGCGCTGGGGGCACCTCCCACCCCGGTGCCCGCAGCAGCCTGCACTCCTGGGCCTTCGGGAAACACTTTCTCCCCACAGCTGCGTCCCCAGCCCGCGCGGGCGCGGGAAGGCAGGCACAGGGAACAGTGGGGCTCCCCGGGGCGTCCTCTGGCACCGGTGGCTCTAGGCGGTCAGGGGCCCCGCCAGCCCCTCAGAGCCGCAGCCAGAGGGCTTCAGAGACACGGTGTTGAGGGAGGGACAGGCGGCTGTGAGGGGTCAGGAGACGGAAGGGGAAGAGGAAGCGCAGGGGACAGCAGCCTGCAGCGGCGATGAGCACTGGACGCACCTGGTGAGGGAGCCTTGGGCTGGCCAGCAGCCCCCACAGAGGACAGCGGGCCCAGCAGAGGGGCAGCCAGACAACAGGGAGTGGACATCTGGAGTCAGCAGGGAAACAGGTGGCCATCAGTAAAACAATGTCCGCGCCCGGTTGCCGTCCGGGGTCCGCAGGCGCCCGGTCCTTCCCAGGACGGCCGTCCGGGGTCTGCAGGGCCTCGCGCAGCTCAGCTGCAGCACCCACGGGGCAGTGGAGGAAGTACGTCCAGTCTCCAGGGCTGACCACAGGCCAGAGACGATGCCTGCCACTCCCTCCGTGGGCACACACAGGTCCGAGCGCAGGAGCCCTGCCTGGCCCCAGGAGGCGGCAGACAGCAGGAGCTAGGGGCGGGGGAACCCCGGAGCCCGGCCCGCCCCCCAGGAAGCCAGAGGGTCCTCAGAGCACCAGAACGTCGCGCCAGTCACCCGGCGACCCCTGCTGGGAACTCACCGGGGTCACGGGCAGACCCACAGGCAGCCGCCCTCCCACCGGCCTGCAGCCCGGGCCCAGTCGGGCCGCTGGAGAGGTGGCCGGGGCCCGCTGTGGAGCGGACTCGGCCCCGAGAAGGGGGCTCGCCGGTGCTGAGGGACGACGCTGAGTGAAACTGCAGCGAGAGGACAGAGGCCGGTGGGCGACTGACACCCAGGCGCGGGGAAACCCGCCGACGGTCCGGGCCGGCTTCCGGGCACGGGGCTGGGCACCGGCGGCCACGGCCCTGGCGGCTGGGAGGGGAGCGGCCGAGGGCGAGGGCGCCTGGTGGGCGCCTGGGCGGAGAGAGCTGCGGCTGGGAAAGGACGGTGGGCGCAGCGGGCGGTGCCGCGCCATGAAGCCCCGGAGCCCTGCGGCACGAGTGCCATCCCCTCCCCGGGTCCCCTGACCGCCCGGGGCTCCCTCGGCGGCGCGCTTTGTCCATCGGCCTGTCCCGCGCCCCACTCTGTCTGGTGAGC